GGGTTGTGTTCAACCAAGACGTGAGCAGACGAGAGAAATCAAGCTGTCTTTAAGGCAAAAGATGAGCTCAAAAAAAAAAAAAAAAAAAAAAAAAGTATCTCTGTGCCAATACATTCCTACTGCTTCAACACCAGCTTGAGGCCATGTGCGAGTCCCTCTGTAGGGCCACATTTCATCATCCTTAGTTACTGAGACAATAAATATAAACTTTGGGCATTGGTGCTGATGCCAGCCCTAGAAACACATTTCACCCCGCAGTTATAAAATACAAACTGAAAATTAGCAGTGCCATTAACTTACTCTGCTGTGCTGAGTGTCTGAGCTCCATAAATATGGGCAGGCTCCTGCACAGAAATTAGCATGATATCCTTTAGGTTCATGAATCCATTTCCAGCCAAGATCCCTCTTGAAGTCAATATAAAGTGGACGAAGACAACAATTATCCTGCACGTTCCTGGGAAATAAAATACAAACACATCAGTCATAAAAATGGTAACACTGAGAATAAAAATAAACCAGTTGCTTGCTCCCTAAATGAGACAGGTAAGTCAAAGTCCCAAAAATTTACAACCAAGTCACATCAATAGTAGATTATACTGTAACAGAAATCAGATGCTTAGACATGCCAGGACTTGCTTATACAGGCATAGTTAATGGTTTCCTTGGAAGACTAGTATTTTTCTTCAGGTCCACTCTGAGTAGGTGAACACAGTGGAGATGACAATTTGGCTGTAATTATGGGGCTGATGGGTCTGGGAATCATCCCAGATGGAACTTGGTCTCTGCTTTCTAAGGCCACAGCCTTCCTCATCTGCCACTGTCCCTGCAGGACTGTAGCCCGCTGGGCAGGTAACTGCTGCACACAGACCCCATGGGTCTGCGAATGAAGGTTCACACTCTGTATAAATGTCAACTGTAAAGAAATATGATAACCAACTGCATTACACCTCACAGGCTGCTACCACTATGAAAATATACTGAATATGGATGTATAGTTACCTAAAACAATAGGCAGCATCTAGAGCACGCTTCTTCCGCCGACTGGGCTGTTGTGACTCAAGTCTGTAGGAGGGTAATAACATTAGCAGAAGATGTGGGGTCTTCCCATTTGTTTTCCTAATAGACTTTGAAGCTGTCAGATCACCACTGGAATATGGGTAGTCATCAATACCTTCAAAAAATACATTTTGGTGATAAACATTGTGTTGCTTTTTTCTTCACATATTAAATAAACCATCTCTTTTAAAAAAAATATTTCAGAAACTGGTCAATAACGGTGTCAGCTGAGCTTGTACAGTGGGGACTGGGGGCAAATTTCAACCCAAGATCCCTAAGACATTCACAGTTTTGATGTTATCTATTGTATCAGCCCTCCTACATTCACAGTCATTTAATGGCATTTCAGCATGCTTACCAGAACAGAAAAGATTACTTCTGTCACTGAATCTGCACTGCTTTGTTTCAAATCAGGCACCAGGCAGTGATGCTTTTGCTACTTCACTTTGTGCAGTATTCCCATCTTGTAACAGCCATGTACTTCTTTAAACCTTGTAACACCATTAAAGCTGGTTTGGATAATTCACTTTTGTTTCCCATTCCTACTCCCGTCTCATTAGTTTTCTTTCTCACACATTTACTTCTTTCTAATGCTTGTAAATTTTGTGTGTCTCACTGCCAGTTTATTTGTATCTCCTCATTTTTCTCAGAAATTAAGTTATTCTAGCCCTTCTTTTGTATGGGCATGGCAAGGACATTAGCCAAAATATTTCTTCTTGAAATAGCGATCAATGACCTCTTATTTTGTATATTCTCTTGAAACACTAACTGCCTTACTAGCTTCTTATCATAGCAATAGCACAGGCAAAAGACTCAAGGTATTAGACTTTCCTAGGAATCTAAACAGCTCATGTTAAGCCTGTTGCTAAGATCCTTTTGAAAATTAACCTCCTGAACCAGATAATACTATCTAAATAGAAAAATATACTTTTTTTTTTGGTAATATTTGCAGTTACAGTGACTGCATATCATACCAACTATTTTTTAAACACACACAATTGCTTTAATCATATGCACAATACATCTATTTACTTAAAGAAAAAATTCCAACACAGTGAAACATTGGTTAGAAAAAATTAATACTTAACAAGGAACATAGCCAAATCTTAGAAAAAAAATGAACCAAATCATTATATTCTTTAAAAAATGAGAACTGTATAAACAGAATTTGGGTTTGTTCTAATATAGCCATAGTTTTATAGGTACTGGTGGATGATAACTATAGCACTGTTAATTGAATAACATTTCCCTTTTTGAAACTGAAACTTGAATGGCTTAAAAACACAAGGGAGCTTATGTGACCTTGATATATTTACACTATATCATCTGGCCTGCTGTCCATAAGCAGCACATATATCCGTAACACTAACTACAAACTGTTGTTTATTTTTTAATGACCACTCAATCCAATCAAGTTTTTACTAAGCTTTCAGCATAAAAAATACTTTGTGCAACTAATATACAAATGTTACAATAAACTCTATGTGGCAACGTAGATATATAGAGATTATCAATGTTAACTAACGTAGTTCTGTTGACTTCACCTAAGAATCAGACTTCCATTGCTGGAAGTAGGAGCACATAGACAGGTACATCACTTCTGTTTTTTCAAGCCACAATGTACTGGCAATAAAACACTGTAGAACATTTATACAAATTTGGCATCTATTGTTCAGCTGCTCCCAAAGTGACTCATGCCATTGCTCAGACTAATTTAAAATTTTACTGATATGATGAGAAAAGAAAAAAAGAAAAAAAAAAAAGAGTAGCTGGAGATGTTTTGTATGCATGAAGAGCTGGACGTCAGTGTGTGGGTATTAGAAACACTGGGACCCTCTATACACAGTGAGGGTAAAGGAAGCTGTTTATGTAAGCAATGCAGCCAACTCTTGTCTTACTTACACTTCAGAAATTTGGCACAACAAGCATTGTTTAACACTCATAAAATGCACCATGCTCACACATATTACTTACTGTAAGAAGCTTACATGTGAGCTGAACACCACCCTACTTGACTTTCCAGCAGTAGCCTCCCCTACTAAGCCTGAACTATTACAGTGCTAGGATGGACAGCAGACAAAGAGCTTTTGTAAAAACCGTTCAGCAAGTTTTCTCATGACTATTGAACAACGGATCATATACTGTGCAAGAGTCTTTCCTGCATCCAAAATTTTATGTATCCAGTGTGTAGTCTGTGAACTGTAATGCAGACACTTAAGGACACTGAAGCTGCCTGCATGGAATGAAGAAGCTTATTTATGCAATCTGTTTTTAGAGAAGTTCAGCTGATACCGTTTTTCCCTTGTGTGTTCAATACCATTTCCCACCAGTTGAGAATCAAGAATATCAGATGAGCAAGTTTTCAATCAGCTGAATGACGTCTTTGAGACGCAGCACCAGCTCTTCATTTCCCCCCTCAATTAGCAAGTACCACAACATCTTAAAAAGTTGTGTTTTTTTTGTTCTTTAGTTACCTGCAAATCTTGCTTCAAGCTCCTCACTTTTATTTGGGATGATATAATTATTGGAAGGCACAAAGGTGCAGCATGGACAATGTAAGCTTATCTTAAATCCAAGGTTCCTGTCTGAAAAACATAACAGTAAGTGGAGTTGGTTTTAAAATGTGGAATGACCCTGAAATACTGCAAAGTTAATGGAGAAGCAGCTGGGGCAGGAGTGAAGGCAAAGAGCCCTTATCACCTCTATGATGGAGCCACTCATGCACAGCCTCAGTGACATCAAAAGACAACCATTCTCCTTCAGCTCTTGTTTTAACTACTTTGCTGTCGATGTAGCGCTGTCCTGGTGAGGATAACTCTTTAGATTTTAGGACCTGCAAAAAACAACAAATATGATTGCCTACAGGTTAATGTTTACCTGGTTTTTATTTAAATGGACCACCAACATTATATAATAGCAAAAGAAACCATTACAGCTCAAACCTCTATGCAGCAGATGTTCATTAAAGCACATTTTTAGAAAGAATTTTCTAAGGGTGTGTGAGCAGAGGAAGATGATATAAAAACACCCTAATGAAATCAGCTTATGCTCCCAAGCAAAACATGCCATCACTTATTCCTTCTTAAGAGAAATCACACAGAGACACTGCCCTGAAAACTTGTCCTGCAACACAAGTGTCCAAGAGATCATAGTATATGGAACATCAGAAGAGGCTATTTTACCTTCTGCGGTAATACTTACACTGGTTAAAGCATAGTATCAGATGCTAAAGTAAAGCCTGTACAACGCAGTGTGTACAGTGGAGATATAGTATTGTTCGCTCACAACTAATCTGTATGGTATTGCCTTTTTAATGCTTCCAGCCTTCCCTCTGACTTCAGGTACTTGTCATACATTAAACAGACGAAAGTTATTGTCCATATAATCTGTGGGCATGCAGAGACAGCTTGGTGTCAATCATGGCCACACATGGATTTGTGCAATGGGTGTTGCTGCTTCCATCCAGACTTTGATGCCAGCTGTACTTGGATTTGTGTCAGAAGTTTCAGCAAAGTTTGCTACTGAGTATGCAAGAAAAAAACCCCTTCCCCCAAAAAACCCAAAACACAGCCCCTCTCTTTCAAGACACAGCACTGCACACCTAGAATTTCAAGTGTCTACAGTCTTCCCCCTATCTAAACAACTTAGCAAGTACTTTCCCAATTACAGGCAGAGTCTGCTATTATCTACCCTAACTCTAGGACAAAAACAACTGGACTTTCGGTGCTAACAGGTTTCTGGTTTCCCAGTTATTACTATGTTGGTAGTATTGCGATGCAGGAAACTGGACTGCCGTGCAACATTAAGTCAACTCTAATCAAGATACCACACGATCACTTTGTAACTTTTGGCATGCCAGCTGTGTGACTTTCTATATTGTTTTGGGTTGTTTCTCTCTTCATCCATCCACGTTCATCTCCAAATGAATAGCTGAAAATGTCTGATTTTTTCCTCCTATTTTCTCAGCCCAGGCCAACCTGACATCTAGCAAACACTGCTGGAATAAAACAACGGTGAACAACATAAGAGTAAAGAAAAATATTTCAAGAGGTGTGAAATTATGTAATCATGATAAAATTAGGCTTCTCATAATTAATCAAAAAAGCAGACTCAAAAAGGCCAAAGTGTGTCCAACATGTAGACCCTCCCTCTTTATTTCAAGGAGTGTTGTATCTCTCAAAGGCAGTGCAGCTCCTATATTTGTCTTACGAGAACAGCAGACTGACAAGCTCTTTGCCTTCTTTCTGATCAGCACATTTAACAAAAAAAATGTTGGTCCAGGTCTGGAAAATGACCTCGTACCCCTAGCAGGCGATGCTGAGTTCTCCAGAATCTGAGGGCACTCACAACATTGAACACTGGGACTCCTTTTTATGAGGCAACCTCTAAAAAAGGGTTTGAACAACTGTTTACAGAGAGTCTGGCAGCAGCAAGGGAACTACCACGGCTCAGAAGTGCCAGAGGGATGAGAGAACCAGTAATCAATGCTGGGAAAGTCCCAGAGAAGTACAAATATAACTGTCTTCCCTTTGGTCTGGGGGGGGGGGTGTGAGGCAAATGGGACACAAGAACTTGGCTCATTTCTCTTCCTTTCTGCACAGTCATATCTTTCCAAAGACTCCAGAAACTGCATACCTCAGTTTTGGCAGTGATGCAAGGATCTAAAAGTAAGTAATGTGCCAAAAACAACCTCCTGATGTTAACTATAATTGGTCTTAGATATGTTCTGAAGACTCAGCTGTGCCTTGGTATCCAAAATAAATTTTCTTCATCCCAATACCATTACTATCAAGAGACTAAGTCAAGGGCTGGCAGCATGCACCTGGCATGAAAGGCACTTGTGAAAGTACAAGAAAACACTACTGCAGTATCCAATGGTACAAAGAACATCCATACTGAATGACAAGAAAAGTTTTTGCAGGTTTCAAAACTCTAGGACACCGTGGGACAGGATGGACATGGGAGATCAGAAGTTCCAGATATCATCCATCCTATGGTATTCCTTGTACTTTGTACTACATTGCTAGTCTTACCTTCCCCATCAGCAATACCCCTTTTTCTTCCAATATACCCCGAAACCTATATTCCCATTGAAAAACTTTTCTTTCAGAATTTCCTACACTTCCTTCCTACTGGATCAGCTAGTTTAGTTGCAAAAAAGAGAGGCCTCTTCTGTGCTTTGCAGCTTTTGTGATTGAAAGCTTGTCTAACTTCTTCCAACTACACTGTTGGAACTATCCAACACTACTATTCCAACTACACTGTTCCAACTATCTTAGAAGAGATAATACCTTTACCCATAAACATTGCCTTAGCTATAAACACTGCCTTACCTTTATGCTTAGCCCATTTCAACCACATCAAACACTGTTATCAGAAATGTTGATCCACAACTTGTATCTGCAGGAGCTAAATGCAGGTCTAAAAAGTAAAACAGTTTCTGCAAAAGAGTTTTCAGTGCACTAAAAATCTTAACAGAAGGACTAAAAAAACCCAAAACCTCCAGAGGAGAGAAGGAAGACTGAGTTAAACTTCCCCTTTAATCCTTTCTCATTTCCTTCTGGCACCTTGTCCAGACATCCCCTCTTAAAGAGGTAAAAAGAGTTTGGTATGTCTATGGGTCATGACATGCATGACTAGGTCTTTTGAGGTGGAAGGGGGAGTACTGTGCATCATCACCTGCACATATAGATGACAGATTGTTACTTGCATGAGTAGGAGACAGAGTTTCCACACATCAACCTCATCGCACTCACTCACAAACAGGACACTGAAACACCTGCATGCACAAGAAGCTGACAATGCACAACAACTGCATGCGTGCAAGTACGAGCATGTACACTTTCATGTATGAGTGAGTGTTGGGCAAAGTCTCTGCAGCTTCTAAATATGGATCCTGTTCTTTCAGGTATCTGTTTATTTGGTCTCACTTAGGACAGAGTGATAATGCAGTGCTGCCCTTTCTAATATGGGATTGCACAGGGAACATACACATAAGCTCACATTATGTAGGAATGAGCTGAATATGGAGAAGTGATACCAAAAGGTTATCCAGCAGACTCCTAGCCCAGTATGCAGGGTAATTTGCATTCACTAGCAATGTTCTAAATTCCAAGAACAATTTCGTTTTGTCAACTCCCTTTTTATACAGGATTGCTCCCTTTCACAGGAAGCTAAGTCATTTGTTAATCTATTCTTGACATGGTATCTTACACATTCATGTCTTGCCTTTGAGCTATCTTTTTCTACAGGCACTGCCAGCCATCCTCTCATCAACTTTTCCTCTATTCTGACCCTTCTTAAAAACACCTGGGGAAAACTCCTCTTACAAATACCCATGAAGGATCTCTAGATATCAAATACATGCAGCTACTGCCAGCAGATCAAGGTAAAAACCCCATACAAATACATGAATAACACAGTTAATTGTGGGAAAGGGCTCATGAAGCAGCCAGACATGCAAACAAAAAATCGCACCTGCTTATACAACTACATGCTTAGGAAGCCCACTTGGGGATCTTGGTGATGACAGCAGTGACATGCCACCCTCATCAGGCCTGGCAGATTTCTGGTATTTTATAAATCCCATTGAAAACTGCTCTTCATTGGTTCTGCCAAAGCATTCTGATCAGTCTTCAGAGGGAGAGTCTCTGCTCTGCAGGCAGGTACTTGTCTGATCTCCTTCTCATCTGTTAGAGGAGGCCAGACCATGGTGCTATCTTGGAAGCACAGCCCAAATCACCATTCAGCGATGAAAAGCTTTAGTTTTCTGACAAACTCGTTTCAGAAGAATGACAAATGAGTTTCCAGAAATTACTGATCTCTATATTACTTCTGCCACCTGCTATGCTTATTTTTCAGACCAACTAGATAGCATTAACTGATTTATTTTAAAAAAAAATTAAGTATCAGCTAACAGAAATCATCATTAAAATACTGGAGGATGAAACTTAATTCATATGCACCCTTATTAATACTCTCAAGTAACTATTCCACAGTTCTGAGTAGAAAAATAAGGACAACTGCCTTAGCCTGTATTTCATAAATTGTAAAATACACTGAGAACACGATAGCATTCATTATAACAAAGACTGTTTGCAAAATTAGCAGAAACTTTTTCAGACCAACTAGATAGCATTAACTGATTTATTTTTAAAAAAATTAAGTATCAGGTAACAGAAATCACCATTAAAATACTGGAGGATGAAACTTAATTCATATGCACCCTTATTAATACTCTCAAGTAACTATTCCACAGTTCTGAGTAGAAAAATAAGGACAACTGCCTTAGCCTGTATTTCATAAATTGTAAAATACACTGAGAACACGATAGCATTCATTATAACAAAGACTGTTTGCAAAATTAGCAGAAACATGGCTTCTCTAAAAAATTAGGCATATAAGAGGCTGACAGAAGAAGAACAGCAGCACTTGGCATCAGTATAATTATACTGGTTCAAAAACAAAACCAGAAAACCTCCAGAACCCAAGACTGTGTAAATAGAAAAGTAACTATTTTGCTCAAATTTTCTTTTGCCTATTCCCTTTCTCATATATATATTGGCAGCTAAAGCAGGGGATAACTGAATTAACACATTAGTGTATATATTCTAGACAAAAAGCACTGGGAGCAGATACCAGAACAGCCCATCTTCTTGCCTTATTACACACATAAAAGGAATAAAATTGACAGAAAGACACACTGTTTATTTCAAATAACTAGAGCTCCAGAATAGCAACTTGCTTTGTTTATTTCAGATTTGATGGTCTGTCCAATGACTACTTCTAGTCTCCTATAGCTACCACAACCAGATGCTGAAGAATAGGAAAATT